TGCTCTATAATATTATAATAAACACGATACAAAACCAAGTAAGTAATAGTACCCAGAGGATAGGTATCGTGTCATCTAGAAAAGGGTCTGAAATCCAGTCCAGTCCAGTCTATAAATCATATTATAAGGTATCACTCTCCGAATCTCAAACAAAAGTGTAAAATATACAAGGGGCGAAACCTATTTATAACGGCAAATTGGGAGGAAAAATGGAGGTCTCCGGGCGTCTCGTTAAAGGTCCCCGCGAGATCTATAGACCGTATAAATTACCATTTTATTCCACTAACACTGTCGCACGGACAGTTACTAGGCACATAATATACTTACTACACAATAGTGATAATCTACTAGTTTGGAATTTATCATTCTCTGTGGTAATTTTGTATTTGGTGATTAAGTCTGGTTTTAAATCAAAAAATACCTACTTATACTGAATAATTATTAATAACAAATTTTACTTAAACTTATTGTACTAGAGTTGTGAGTTTAGATTTTTAGGTTTTTGTTTATGTTCAACTGCAAGATTTTTTTATTATAAGTTTTAGGAGTATCGAATAAATACGAATTTCTATAGAATTTGTATTTTTATTACAACTTTGATGAAAAACAACGAAAATTTAACAGTGATGTGGATTTAATAAAATAATTGTTATTATACCATTTTTTTTAACATCAGATCGACTTACGACCTTAAGTCATGTACAATAGCAATACCTTTCCTGATTTATTTTTAAATACTAATTTTAAATTAGCTGATGCGACAGGCAACTACAGTCATTCTATACCCACCAATCCGCACTGGGCCCGTGAGGAGGGTCATGGCCCAGCCTCCATATTCCATCCATAGGAAAGGCCATTGCATTGCCATTGGCCCCTGCAGTAACCCGGTGTGAACCCAATTCAATTTCCTGTATACCCTCAGAATCTTACACACCACCAAAAGGCTGCGTTATTTTCTTTTAACTTCCTTTTAAGTGGAGGTTACTTTAACAGACAAGAGCTCCTTCATTCGAGAGTAGAGAAATACAGTGTGCTCTTTCTCTCTTCACCATTTATTCTCTGCATTGGTACGATTTTTTTATCTAATTCCTTCTTATAGTCCCAACAGAGCAAATTATTAATTATTTACAATACGCAATTTTAATCTCAACTAATTCTAAAGTTAAACAAACTTATCTTTAAGGAGTCGAAAGACAATTACATTAAGTGTGGCGAAACGGGAATAAAGAAAAAAAAACTTCTTTACCAGCAAGAAAACACATTAAATCTTAATTTTAATTTTGCAACTTTCCGAACACTGAAAGGAACTCTTCCCTTTTTTGATGCAAATTACTTTCAACTTTTGCCGTTTTCATTAAGGGATACGAATTAATGTCTTTGTGGCTAGGTCGCATTTGATTATTCAAAAAAGAAAATTAATGAGGGTGCGAAACAAATATTTTGCTTTTTGTTAGCGAAAAGTAACGTGCTGAGATGTTGTTGGACATGAAATCATTTTGATTAGCGTTTGTTTCGTTTCAGTAATTTTTGTTATATATTATTTTGGCATCACGATTTTAACGAAACTTTGAATGAAATATGTACGAGTAGAATAAAGCCCTCGATATTAACGTGCCTATGGGAGCATATTTGCGTTTTTAGCGGTCGATAATATCGAATGCGTTATTGCGGTATCTAGTGCATTATGTATTAAGACGGCTATGGAGTTACACACTGCTGTGATAATAAGGACGCAATAGAAGTATGACGAATTAACGCGCCTATAGGCGGGACGCTTAATACCTACTTTGAAATTAATATGAGTTAATTCTTTTTTGATTCCTGAACAGCTTTTGGCGAGCTTCTGACATATTACATTTTGGAATCAAACTGTAATATATGTGTTTATGAGAAACAATAGTCGGGAAATATGTTTGTCAAAAAGATCTAGGCCTTTGTAATAGATTATTTATTTATTTATTTTGTAACCACACGATAAGATATTTTAGATAAACAGAAACAAGAGACACGTACAAAGGCACTACTTATTTCATATTGAAATTTCTTCCAGCAGGCTCATGAAAGGATATAACATAAAAAGGCAGTCAGTGAGTTTTAGAATAAATACAACTTATTACATTAAATAAGCATACAATACCTACATCTATATATATAAAAATGAAACCCGTTTTCCGTTGTCACGACATAACATGAAAACGGCTTGACCGATTTGGCTGTTTCTTTTTTTGTAGTTTTCTAATACTCTGTACAAGGTTCTTACGGAAAAAAATATAAAGAAAATCCCAAGGGGATAAAATAAGGAGTGAAAGTTTGTATGAAACTTTATCAATTTTAAACCGATCGGGCTGAGACTTTGCATGCAGGTATAAGAAGAATCATAGATGAATGTCATTGTGTATAATACAAGCCTGAGAACAAAAACTGTAGTCTACACTTCAGCTCTACACCGAAGCGAAGCGAGGGCGGGCCGCTAGTATACAATATGTAGAAATAAATGACTATATACTAATATAAAATAAGGAATAACAAGGAGAAGCAATAAAGTTCTAGTTACTCAAGTAGAAAGGTAGTGTTTTTTAAATGTAGAAATGGTCTAGCTGTCTCTGATTTCTATTGGTAAAGAGTTCCACAAGCGGACGGCATGTACTGTAAAGGAGTAGGATGATGTCAGTTTTATGCGTAGGACATTTGAGAAGAGATTTTAAGTGAGATTGGCAAGGAACATCAGGAGAGTGGGTGAAAGAAAACCACTCCCGAAGGTAGGAAGGATATAAAGGATGTTGAAAAGAAGACAAAGGATTCTGACATTCCTGCGCAGACGTATGGGGAGCCACTTGACTTCCTTTCTTAAGTTGGAGACGTGAATCGGAAGGCAAGGTACTCCAGGCGGTCTAGTTTGTTAATTAAAACCTCCGTAGCAAAGAGCTCCGTAGCTCCGTCCAAATAGCAAGCATCGGCATAGTCGAAAAGGTATAGAAAAAGAGATGCTGTATATGTATGATGTACAAGGGCAATTTTAGAATGTAGAGAAAGTAAATTTTGAAAACACTTTAAAGTGAAAAATACATTTTGCGACTTACATCAGCGATGTGGGCTGTCCATGAGAGGTTTAAATTAATAAGAATACAGGTGCAGAATACTGCTGAAAAGTCCACAGTATAGTTTTAAAAAGTGTATTACTGAGAGGTTTCGCAACATGACCCAAGACTGTATCTTGGTACAATTTGGCTGAAGTTTTCACTCCTTTTTCACATAAATGTAGTTTTCTGACTCCTTGATAAGACACCACACCCCACCAAACCATCACTGACGCAAGATGATGACCACGTTGTACCTTTCCGACCACTTGAGCAGCTTTTTTAGGACTGTGAGCGTACACTTTATCATTTTGCTTATTGTAGTGTTCTTCAATCGTGAAATTATTTTTCATCGGCAAAGAGGATATTTCTGTGCTTTTCACCTGCGTAACGCGACAGAAGGTGTTTTTATCGATCCACTCTCTTTAATTGTAAAGCCGACGATAAGCACCCAGCTTCAGGTCTTGTTTTATAATATGCGACAGAGTCCTAGCGGGAATCTTCATTTCTCGCGATAAAATTTTTTGCTTCATATTGGAATTTCGACGAATTCTGGCTTTAACAGCCCTTGTATTTCGAACAGCACGCGGTCACTTCGATTTTTTTTGGTCGACTGAGAAAGTGTTGTTATATCTGTTGATAGTACAATATACGAACATACGGCTAATACAAAGATTTTAAAGTGGCTGGAATATGACCGACGGCTCCATAAATACATTCTGCAAGGCGATCACTGCATACCTATTTTCTTTAACAACCCATTCGATATTGTAATTTTATGTTAAATTCAAAATAATTAAAAAGTTTAAAAATAGAAAAATATTTATGTAACAGTATTTATGGCCAGACTTGTTATAATACAATAAATAAATATTCATCTAAGTAAATAGTAATTAAAAATATAAAATAAATAATAAAGCAATATAAATTTATACTACACTACAGCAGCGGAGCCTAACATACGTGCTGACTGTAAAACAAAATACATTAATTATCAATACAATAAACATCCACAAAAAACATCCAAAAAGGGAACTGAACATAAATAAGCACATACAGGTGTCGACTTAAGCACGATTCTCCAGAGCCAAACCTTAATCTGACAACGACATATCCTTGTCATTCTCTATACAGAATGAAAAAAACAGACCACTGCCACACCCAAGCTTAGATAATCCTACCAGAATAGACACCATTAAGCCGTTATACCATACCACAGATTCTAACAAAATGCTAAAATTATTAATCATCACTGGCTGAATACTGGATAATTATATAGTTTATGGCAAACATGCATGGAACGGAACGCAAACCGACTGGGCCGCGTACCAAAACCACGCGCAATGTGAAAATTTTTACCCGGACGTTCCAATTTTAACATAAAATGTATAAAACTTATGTGACATTTAACATTTGTTGCAACCGGAGCGCAGGTTCAGATCGCAGCCCTGGAAAAGACAGATTGACACTGACTGTTGATAGCCAATGTCAACAGATAGAAACAAAACAAACCTCTTATTCAGAGAAACAAACAGATTGCAGGTATGGCAATGAAAAAATAAAATGTCTCACCTCCATAATTACTAAGTGAAAGTGATAAATGAATATACCAAAGACAATTTCGGAAAAGTAACATTTTATAAACACACCTCTAAGACTTGCTTACTACGAAACTGATGCCGTATAACAGCAAACAGTGCATTGAATGAAATGCCGATGATAAGGAATACACAAATAATGCCTTCACTAGCGACGTCTCGTCTTCCTTGCAACCCGCGAAAATGCACCGGCGTCAGCCACCTTTGGTGACGCTTGTCCTTTACCAAAGGACAAATCCGCTGGAACTGATGAATCAGCCGCAGCACCCGCAGTGCCCGTAGCTGATGAAAACAGGGTTATAACGGCTCGCAACTCAGCTTCTGTCTAGATTTTCCTTCGGCTCTTATCTGGAAGGCTGACAATAATCTTGCCAACAGAAGACCAGCAGTTCTTTATACGGAGCCTAGTTAAAAATTCGGAAATAGTGACGCCAGAATCTTTGAGTGCAGTCTTATTCTCCCAAATCAGGCGTCGGTCCTCATAGTCGCTGAGTGGGACAAGAACAGGACGAATTTTGTTGCGCAGCGAGCCAAGTCTATGGCAAACATGCAACTTATCCTTACTGATCTCAGGTAACTTAAGCTTATCATCGATGAACAGCACGACTTCTTCAGCTAAATCGCCCTTGTCACTCTCCGGCATATCATGAATAAGGAGAACTTTTCTTCTCATTGCCATTTCATGCCAGTCTTGATATATGATCAATAAATCTATTTGCGATTTAAAAGATTTCAGAGCCTGCCATATAAAAGCTTTAAAGTCTGAGAACTCACTTGCTAACACATTTAGGTCGGGGCTCGCACTGGCAGATCCTATGGTTGCTTTTTGCAGTTTTATCTCGAACTGGTTTAGACGTGACTCGAACAGTTTCTCTAAGCGTTTCATGTTCTCAGAAAGGTCCTGGGCCATATTGCAGTGTGAATAAAATAGCGGGAAAACAGTTAAATTTAATATGACAACAGCCGTGTAGAAGCTCCGCAGGTACTTATGCCATTAAATTAAAGATTGAAAATTAAATAAATAAATCCAAAAGCTCAAAAACAGATGATTTTATCTTTCGACTACCCACGACGCAACCAAATAGTTTTAATACTGTGAGTTCTAAAACACAGAATAAATGGTTTTCTATTGCTTCGACCAGTAATAATGAAGTCAAGTAGGTGGGAACTGGAAGAAACAGTGGATCAAAGTGAAATACAAGACGGCATCAAAAGTATTATGTACTAACAGTTTACTTTTCAACAATGTCCGTATACCGTAAGCATATAGGCTAAGTTTTATTTTGAAGTCGAGCCAGCTTTGAACAGTAGCTCGGTAAGGCGGTGGAGATAAATCGAATGAAGCCCGGGGTTTATTCTGTACATCCGGTATTCGGTGTTAATGAATCTTCTCGAAGCCCAAACTGACGATTCGCATCCACCTTTATCCGATGTACCAGTAGGGAATGGAACTCCCTTCCTGCGTTTGTGTTCCCCGATACATATTAAACTTTTAAGAAAAGAGCATATAGGCATTGTTTGAGTTATTCGTGCTCCAGCTCAGACCACATCGATATGTAACATCAGGTGCGAATGTAGTCCAAAGTAATCAAACCTTTTATAAAAAAAGAAACCCCTACAATTCCATTAAATGTGTTTCTTACAGAATACTTGAAGAAACAACTGACATGTCTTTTAACGCTAGAACCAATCTGTGTCGATTGCAATATTGGAAATGCGTCCTACCAACAAAGATATACCTAGCTTCCCTTTTTTGGTTCCATAACAACAACTAATGAGGTAGTGTTTCAAAATTACGTAGGTGCTCGAGATACTGATCTCGCAGTTCTAGGGCTGGAAACAGTGCTCGACCGACGGTCAGCGCTGACCGTCGGTCGGCGTAGCTATATCTATGCCAGTCTATGAATGCGCACACACCTACGCTGATGGTACGCGCATGATTTGGTACGCGCGTTCCGTCGGTCGAGCCGTTGCGTCGATCCGGCTCGTTGGTCGCGTGTATCTCGGTCGACCGACGAGCTATGAGATTGTATGGATGCGTTCAGTGCTTCACTGATGGAGCGATCGACCAAACGCGCGTACGTACAATCAAAGCAAAAATGAATATTGTTAAAGATTTTTTCGTATGTATTTTATAAAGACCGTGATGCTTAAATAAGTCCTTGGCAAGGACATCGTAAAGAATTAATTGCGCAAAAAATAGCGTGCATTTATTACAGCAAAAGGGTTCATTTTTCTCGTGAACTGTACACACGCGTCGCCGTTCGCCGTCAGCGTAGCACTGAATGCATTTTCGCAACCGACGGTCAGCGCTGACGGTCAGGACGTACGGTCAGGAAGTACCGTCGGTCGAGCACTGTTTCCAGCCTAAAGAGGCATAGTTTTTCTAATAGAAATTGACTGACTGGCGCGGTCAAGGAAGCATGCTCCACATTACAGAGAGAAGTTTAACCCCCACCATCTGGACGCTTGGCGTTATGGATCAATGCGATTCCCGCGTTTCTTTTTCTTGCATCCCAACAAAATCTGGAATGAATTACTCTTAGCGGTTTTTGCCTGCGTAACTTATGGCGCGATTACATTTGGTCGTTAGGCCGAATGCGCGTTACCGAATTCGGGAATTTTACTTAGTGTAATGAGGAGCTCGATGGCGCAAGTGGTTAGCGCGTTCGGCTGCGATCGTTGAAGTTAAGCAACTTTCGCAGTGGTTGGTCTTTGGATGGGTGACCAAAAAATTTACTATCTCGAGCTCTTCCGTGCTTCGGAAGGCACGTTAAGCCGTTGGTCCCGGCTGCATCTGCAGTCGTTAACACCCGCCATTCCGCACTGGGCCCGCGTGGTGGGTCATGGCCTAATCTCTCTATTCTATCCATAGAAAAGGCCTGTGCCCCAGCAGTGGGGACATTAATAGGCTGATGACGACTTAGTGTAAATGAACTGAGTCGAGTATGCCCGTATTCGGGTAGATTACCTATTATTTACCCGACACTGTCTTCTTTTGCTTCGGGAGCCCGAATTCTAGTAATGTCTTTCTTGCACCTGAATACGTACTACCGACCAAATTTAATTACGGCATTTACATGAGTTATAGTTTATGTACTAGGATTGCTAATTATACGATCGTCCCAAAATTGGTCGATTTTGAGATGATCCTAACATCGAATACCTAGTAACGAAAGTACACAGAGTGGGCCCCTGGAGAGAGCACCACTGCGGTCGGCTGGTGCTTCTGGCTAAGTAATAAAATTCCTAACCTCCACATTTGCTTGTTTAGTTTAAATTTAACCCAGCAAGTACAGGAGATTAAATATCTTAATTTTGCCTAGAGTAAGTTGTAAGTAGTATTAGATATCTTAGTCGTTGACATCCATGGTAGATGCAAGCCAAATTTTCATTTTTTTCTATGTTAAAGTGGTGGCAAACGAGCATATGGCCTGCCTGATGGTTTAGCGGGTACAATAGCCAATAGACGGATGCCGTACTAAAAAATATCACTCGCGCCATTGCCTACTCTGACCCAATCCCCTAACCCCGTAGAGCCTAACCTAACCTAACCTTACTCACTGACAGAACACAACACTACCAAAAGGTAGTATTTATAATATTCATTGTGTTTACCTGTGAACAATGTTTATAGTAAATTGCATGAACTCTTTAATTTCTCTCTTCAAAACTTTTGTCACTAATGAAGTACTAATAAGAACGAACCAAAATCTCAAACAACTCCACGAGAAAACATTAAAATCTTTCTACAGCTAGTTGGCAAGTAATTTAATTTGTAATAATTTCGTTGACTACTGTTTTAGTGTGAAGTCAAAGTGGAATAATCCTATTAAGTAATAAAATTATTGCTTAAAGACTTGGTCAACCTGTGAGAAAGGTTGTATTTTAGAATACAGCAGGACGCGTTGCGACGAGAGGCAGTCGCAGATCCTACTATCCCACAGAACACAGAGAGAGTTTAGAAGGGTTATCGTAGACCGTTTGTACGGGAACCGATGTCGCTGGCTCGACCCCACTACTCTTTCACCTAATAGATAATAGCGAATCAAACGACGCGACATCAAACAAATGAACCAATCAGCTCTCACACCAGAGAGCAACGACGCAATCGGAACCAAGTTTAGGTCAAGTTATGAGCATTTGCTCACAGATAACTGTAGCGCGCCTGCCCCGCCTACAAGGCCCTTCTAACCTATTTCTGTGTTCTGTGTAGTTTCCAATCCTACTATTATAATAATAGCATAGGAATAATAATTAATAAATAATAATAAATATAAAAAAATGATGTGGTGTCGTGGGACACCAGGTAGGAACGAAGTTCCTTTGGCTAATGTAGAATCGACACAAATTGCAGGTTTTCTTGATTTTTCTCTTAATTTTTTTTAAGTACAAGAAAGTATTTAGGAAATTCAGTATTTTAGGAAATAATAAATTACTTAAAATAAAAAACATCGTAATTCAAATTATCAACTAAAGTAACAAAATATGTCTCTTTAGTTTTGTTTGACAACATAAAATTACATAGAAAAAACTACTTACTAGATCTCGGTCAAACCAATTTTCGGTGGAAGTTTGCATAGTAATGTACTAGATTTTTTTTAGTTTTATCAGTCTCTTATTTTAGAAGTTACAGGACACATTTTACCACTTTGGAAGTGTCTCACTCTAAAACTATTCAGTTAAAAAAATAATGGGTGCGTGTACTTATGTAGGCGCGTGAGAAGTTATCCTTCTTTGGCATCGTTTAAAATTAGTTTTTAATTGCATGCAAATAATGAATTACAATAAATTAATAAAAAGTCTGGAAAAGGACACAGTCAATAAAGTTCAGTTTTAATTTGAAAAAATAAATAAATAATCAAAATATTCAATCTAAATTAAATTGAAACCTTTCTTTGTAATTGTTTGAGAGTGTTTAAATCCATTTATTTATCAGTAAATTAAGCAACAAAACGGACTCAATTGATTAACGAAGTAATGAGTATTCGAAATACCAGGATCGCATAAGCTTACACTAGGTATACATTATCAGTCCTACGGAATTCGGCCGCGGTGCGCCCGTGTCGCAACCAGCTGCGTAGCCTAGGTGAATGAGCGGACGTTCGAACTTCGAAGTGTTTTCGATTTTTAAATAGGTTTTCGAAAAAGTTTCTAACAAAATAAAAATTCCACGCATGGACACACCATCATATCATCATAATCATAGCACATCATACACGGTACGATTCATACTATTATTACAACGCCTTTAAGATTATGTTGTCCTGGTACTAAGCCTTATAAATATAATCGATAATCCACTACATTATTCGCTGTGAGCTGGAAAGCTGCCTGGTCGTCTCCCTCGCTCTAGAAAGACCTCACAACCACCACCATATGATTTTGATATCCTGGCACTAAACCTGCAAGTATAGACTACTGAATAGCGAACATCGTACTCCGTCACCTACAACTTACTCTTGTACCACCTTTATGGTTATGATATCCTGGTACTTAATCTTCAAGTGTGTACTGAATAACAACATCGTATTTCCTCAATAAATTGCAAATAATTTTGTTGTTGTATCTCAACGAGTTATATAGTCCTGGTAATAATGCCACTAAAACGCAGCACACCACGTCTCATTTAACGGTTTTATTCCACGCATTTTTTCTTACGGTTTTACTATCACATTTTTTTCAGTTCGGTCGCGCAGCAAAATCCCTATCGCCTCCAAGCCTGCCGTAAAGAATTTTCGACCTCACAACCACCACCATATGATTTTGATATCCTGGTACTAAACCTGCAAGTATAGACTACTGAATAGCGAACATCGTACTCCGTCACCTACAACTTACTCTTGTACCACCTTTATGCTTATGATATCCTGGTACTTAATATTCAAGTCTCATTTAACGGTTTTATTC